TGGACCATCAGGTGATGATTGTATCTCTGAACCATCAGGTGATGATTGTATCTCTGAACCATCAGGTGATGAATGTATCTCTGAACCATCAGGTGATGACTGTATCTCTGAACCATCAGGTGATGATTGTATCTCTGAACCATCAGGTGATGATTGTATCTCTGAACCATCAGGTGATGATTGTATCTCTGAACCATCAGGTGATGATTGTATCTCTGAACCATCAGGTGATGATTGTATCTCTGGACCATCAGGTGATGATTGTATCTCTGAACCATCAGGTGATGATTGTATCTCTGAACCATCAGGTGATGATTGTATCTCTGAACCATCAGGTGATGATTGTATCTCTGAACCATCAGGTGATGATTGTATCTCTGAACCATCAGGTGATGATTGTATCTCTGAACCATCAGGTGATGATTGTATCTCTGAACCATCAGGTGATGATTGTATCTCTGAACCATCAGGTGATGATTGTATCTCTGAACCATCAGGTGATGATTGTATCTCTGAACCATCAGGTGATGATTGTATCTCTGGACCATCAGGTGATGATTGTATCTCTGGACCATCAGGTGATGATTGTATCTCTGAACCATCAGGTGATGATTGTATCTCTGAACCATCAGGTGATGATTGTATCTCTGAACCATCAGGTGATGATTGTATCTCTGAACCATCAGGTGATGATTGTATCTCTGAACCATCAGGTGATGATTGTATCTCTGAACCATCAGGTGATGATTGTATCTCTGACCATCAGGTGATGATTGTATCTCTGAACCATCAGGTGATGATTGTATCTCTGAACCATCAGGTGATGATTGTATCTCTGAACCATCAGGTGATGATTGTATCTCTGAACCATCAGGTGATGATTGTATCTCTGAACCATCAGGTGATGATTGTATCTCTGAACCATCAGGTGATGATTGTATCTCTGAACCATCAGGTGATGATTGTATCTCTGAAACCATCAGGTGATGATTGTATCTCTGAACCATCAGGTGATGATTGTATCTCTGAACCATCAGGTGATGATTGTATCTCTGAACCATCAGGTGATGATTGTATCTCTGGACCATCAGGTGATGATTGTATCTCTGAACCATCAGGTGATGATTGTATCTCTGAACCATCAGGTGATGATTGTATCTCTGGACCATCAGGTGAATGATTGTATCTCTGGACCATCAGGTGATGATTGTATCTCTGAACCATCAGGTGATGATTGTATCTCTGAACCATTAGGTGATGATTGTATCTCTGGACCATCAGGTGATGATTGTATCTCTGAACCATCAGGTGATGATTGTATCTCTGGACCATCAGGTGATGATTGTATCTCTGAACCATCAGGTGATGATTGTATCTCTGAACCATCAGGTGATGATTGTATCTCTGAACCATCAGGTGATGATTGTCTCTCTGAACCATCAGGTGATGATTGTATCTCTGAACCATCAGGTGATGATTGTATCTCTGAACCATCAGGTGATGATTGTATCTCTGGACCATCAGGTGATGATTGTATCTCTGGACCATCAGGTGATGATTGTATCTCTGAACCATCAGGTGATGATTGTATCTCTGAACCACCAGGTGATGATTGTATCTCTGGACCATCAGGTGATGATTGTATCTCTGAACCATCAGGTGATGATTGTATCTCTGGACCATCAGGTGATGATTGTATCTCTGAACCATCAGGTGATGATTGTATCTCTGAACCATCAGGTGATGATTGTATCTCTGAACCATCAGGTGATGATTGTCTCTCTGAACCATCAGGTGATGATTGTATCTCTGAACCATCAGGTGATGATTGTATCTCTGAACCATCAGGTGATGATTGTATCTCTGAAACCATCAGGTGATGATTGTATCTCTGAACCATCAGGTGATGATTGTATCTCTGGACCATCAGGTGATGATTGTATCTCTGGACCATCAGGTGATGATTGTATCTCTGAACCATCAGGTGATGATTGTCTCTCTGGACCATCAGGTGATGATTGTATCTCTGAACCATCAGGTGATGATTGTCTCTCTGGACCATCAGGTGATGATTGTATCTCTGAACCATCAGGTGATGATTGTCTCTCTGGACCATCAGGTGATGATTGTCTCTCTGGACCATCAGGTGATGATTGTATCTCTGGACCATCAGGTGATGATTGTATCTCTGAACCATCAGGTGATGATTGTCTCTCTGGACCATCAGGTGATGATTGTATCTCTGGACCATCAGGTGATGATTGTCTCTCTGGACCATTCAGGTGATGATTGTCTCTCTGGACCATCAGGTGATGATTGTCTCTCTGGACCATCAGGTGATGATTGTATCTCTGGACCATCAGGTGATGATTGTCTCTCTGGACCATCAGGTGATGATTGTCTCTCTGGACCATCAGGTGATGATTGTATCTCTGGACCATCAGGTGATGATTGTCTCTCTGGACCATCAGGTGATGATTGTCTCTCTGGACCATCAGGTGATGATTGTCTCTCTGGACCATCAGGTGATGATTGTCTCTCTGGACCATCAGGTGATGATTGTATCTCTGGACCATCAGGTGATGAATGTCTCTCTGGACCATCAGGTGATGATTGTCTACTCTGGACCATCAGGTGATGATTGTCTCTCTGGACCATCAGGTGATGATTGTATCTCTGGACCATCAGGTGATGATTGTCTCTCTGGACCATCAGGTGATGATTGTCTCTCTGGACCATCAGGTGATGATTGTCTCTCTGGACCATCAGGTGATGATTGTCTCTGTGGACCATCAGGTGATGATTGTCTCTCTGGACCATCAGGTGATGATTGTCTCTGTGGACTATCAGGTGATGATTGTATCTCTGGACCATCAGGTGATGATTGTCTCTCTGGACCATCAGGTGATGATTGTATCTCTGGACCATCAGGTGATGATTGTCTCTCTGGACCATCAGGTGATGATTGTCTCTCTGGACCATCAGGTGATGATTGTATCTCTGGACCATCAGGTGATGATTGTCTCTCTGGACCATCAGGTGATGATTGTCTCTCTGGACCATCAGGTGATGATTGTCTCTCTGGACCATCAGGTGATGATTGTCTCTCTGGACCATCAGGTGATGATTGTATCTCTGGACCATCATGTGATGATTGTATCTCTGGACCATCAGGTGATGATTGTCTCTCTGGACCATCAGGTGAAGACTACTCTGTCTGGACCATCAGGTGATGATTGTCTGCCTCCAAGGTGTGAGTTCTAGGCACTCTGAAGGACTTGTTATACACAACAGCTGAGAGCTGCTGACAATGTACACAACAGCTGAGAGCTGCTGACAGTGTACACAACAGCTGAGAGCTGCTGACAGTGTACACAACAGGTGAGAGCTGCTGACAGTGTACACAACAGCTGAGAGCTGCTGACAGTGTACTCAACAGCTGAGAGCTGCTGACAATGTACACAACAGCTGAGAGCTGCTGACAATGTACACAACAGCTGAGAGCTGCTGACAATGTACACAACAGCTGAGAGCTGCTGACAGTGTACACAACAGCTGAGAGCTGCTGACAGCGTACACAACAGCTGAGAGCTGCTGACAGTGTACTCAACAGCTGAGAGCTGCTGACAGTGTACACAACAACTGAGAGCTGCTGACAGCGTACACAACAGCTGAGAGCTGCTGACAGCATACACAACAGCTGAGAGCTGCTGACAGTGTACACAACAGCTGAGAGCTGCTGACAGTGTACTCAACAGATCAGAGCTGCTGACAGTGTACTCAACAGCTGAGAGCTGCTGACAGTGTACACATTGCCTTAGTCTGGAGACTACGTGTCAGTACAGTAGAAAGTCAAATCTGACTAAATCTCACTACATAGGCGCTGTATGATCCATGAGGGTTTAGTGTTCAAAGGGATGATAATAATAATAATAAATTTGTGATAAATGGAGAATGTATCTTCTGGTCGGCTTCAAACTTAGTTTCTGTGCAGTAACTGAAGAATGGCTCTTCTACTTACCTTTAAACCTTAATTGGTGGCGAATCTCATTTAGAAAAAGGTGGTTTATTAACTTCGGGGCGCTGTAGGTGCCAAAATTGTCAATTTTGCTGAAGAAATTGGTTTTCGTGAGATAATTTATGAATACCTGGTTGATAAGTCTTTGTTCCACTAAGAGGTCTGGTCTGGGACTGGATCGTGGGGACGATGACCCCCGAAAGAATCCTCTAGACATCCTTCATGTATGCCTCAGCCGATGGGCATCAAACCTTAAATTCCAATAATTTGAGACGGCATTTTTTGATTGGCTTCAAGCTTTCAGTGTTGATGTATCTTAGTGAAAGTTCGAGAGAAAATTTGGAGCTTTCCCCTGATTATAATCAATGTATTAACCGATCTATCTAAAAGAAAAAAAACGACATGTCTTAGCATTGAACTCTATATGTGCACAGTTTGTTGGCTTCTGTGCAATAACTGAAGAATGCCTCTTCTGGTCGGCTTTAAACTTTTAGTGCTGATGTATTTTCCTTAAAAGGAAGCTTCACCTTGATTTCAGGTCGTGCAAGGCTTAATGTACCAATTTTTTTAGTCAATTTGGTTTCTGCGAAATAATTGGAGAATGTCTCTTCTGATCGTTAATAAGTTTCTGTGTTTGACTTGACTGTTTTTGATCTGACTATGTTTGACCTGACTGTGTTTGACCTGACTGTGTTTGACCTGTGTTTGACCTGACTATGTTTGACCTGACTGTGTTTGACTTAACTGTGTTTGACCTGACAGCATTTGACCTGACTGTGCTTGACCTGACTGTGTTTGACCTGACTGTGTTTGACCTGACCGTGTTTGACCTGACTGTGTTTGACCTGATTGTGTTTGACCTGACTGGGGTCCACCTGTTGTGGACCGTTGACTCAGTCGCAACAAATGTACAAATGTACATTTATTTCTTACTGTGCAGGAGGTTAAGTCGTAGTGACGAATTCATTTCTGTCTTTCACAGTTTAAATAGCACAGCTGGAACCCGCACGACGAGTCATGTCACTGCAGGAACTACTGACGAAGGCGTACATAGGAGGGTCTTGGAGAGCGGGGCGGGGCGGGACCTTCCCCGTCTACGACCCAGCTACAGGAGAGGAGATAACCAGAGTGGCGGACTGCACCGTTGAAGACCTCGACGAAGCCATTGGTAAGTTGAAGATTTCGAAGAAAGTTGAAGATGTCGTCGAAGCCATAGGTAAGTTGAAGATCTCAACGAAGCCATAAGTAAGTTGAGAGCAACAAGCGAGTGATGTCTCATCTTAGAACCTTCCTGAAGTGCAGACATGTGTGCATAGCCAAGACATTTACTGAAGGAGAAGTTCCGTTGGTGGCTTTTCCATGTCAGTCTTTTGGATTGACAAAGTTACCAGTGGAGAAACGTTTCATTTATGTCTTGAGGGTGCATGTGTCTTATTCCCACGTCGGTTTAGCATCTCAAGTAAATATAATAGTTGTAGTAGTAGTAGTAGTAGTAGTAGTAGTAGTAGTAGTAATATTATTATTATTATTATTATTATTATTGTTATTATTATTATTATTATTATTATTATTATTATTATTATTATTATTATTATTATTATTATTATTATTATTGAGCAAGTGTAAGGACAACCAGCAACATAATTATGATATCATAAAAAATACACATTAGAAGGATACCCCAATGTGGGGATACCCCTCATATGTGGCCCTTTGTGTATCCCTGTGCTTTTACACTACCGTCCACTGGATGGATACGTGGAGACCAATAAACTAACCAGCCGTTTCGGCGGCAAAATATTAATCAAATTCCCTTCCCTGAAAGACAGAAGCTCGTGAATAAGAATATAGCAAAAGTGGAGGTGCATTTTGCTTGTAAAAACGACGCTATCTTCAATCTCTCTCAAAAACTACAATACCAGATTTGCGTATGTATATATTTCTAAATCTATTTAAACTCTTTTTCACATTCGATTGCAATTAATACATTTTTAAGATTTCATGTTTCAAGACTTTTTTCAGTTATATATAAACACAGTTACATACATTGAAGGGTGTATATCTCTCAATGTACATACCCAGAAATATATCTCAGAGTATATACACTGATAAGTTATATCCGCGATATAACGCAAGCCAGCAGGAGTGGGGACACACTGAAGTATTAATGTGTGTGTTTACAGAGGCGGCGTCGGAGGCTTACAGTTCTTGGCGTCACACCACAGTGAAGCAGAGAGCCACACTGCTCCACAAGATCCAAGTTGCTCTCTTAGACAACAAGGACACCATCGCCACCACTCTCACCAGAGAAAATGTAACGTTCATTGATCTTAAGTGATTTTTTTTCCTTTCCTGTGAAATTTATTGATTCCGAATTTAATGTCTTTGCCTCTAACACAAGAAAATGCACGATAGTTCTAGATCTAAATAGAAATAGATAGCTCCTCTCAGCTGATAGCCTCGGGGTGGAGTCATAGGTCCTCTGCTCTCTCTTTCCCATGTATTATCATGCCTTCCCAAGTATTCTCATGTACTCTCCTGTATAAACATTACATCCCGTGTCACCGTAAGAGTCTCTTACACATTCTTTAAGAAGAATGCGTTACTGAGATCAGCTTAGCCACTTACGTCGAGATCATTGAGTTTTGGAGTGTTTGCCTACTGATGATGGTCTCACTGGTCAGAGACGCTTGAGACGAGTGGACGAGACTCCAGTCTCCAGTATTCGACATGGCGCATGACCCGCACAGGCTTAGCTGGTAGTGGAGCTCTGGTCATCACGAAAAAAGGTGTCTCCTGAATCACGAAATCATAATAATACGATTGCAAACAAATCAAGGAACGGGTGGGACTTGAACCCAAGGCAACTGAGTCTTATAACTCACTTGCCATGTGTTCAAACCCCTACCCGTTCCGTGATTGTCTCTTGGCAAGTGATGACCTGTTCAAGAATTATGCATAAGCTGGTATATTTATGGTATACCAGTATATTGGTGGATATGTATATTTCAGATTATATACATCACGAGGTGTTTAATTTTCAGGGTATACAGATATAGAGGTACATAGATCTAGGGTATATAGATCTAGATTCTAGAGGCATACAGATCTAGGGTATATAGATCTAGAGCGCATATACACTAGGAGATATGTAACTCTTAGAATATATACACCAAGATGTAAATATCTCTCAGACTATATATATATATCAAAAGGTGTGTATATCTGAGTATATACACAAAGTGGTGTATATATCTCATAATATAAACAACAAGAGGTACATATACCTCGGTGCACATATATAGATGTGTCAAAGTATACGTATACATGAAGGGGGGTGTATCCCTCTGTGTAAATGCACAAAAGTGTGTATGTCAGTGTAAATACAATGAAAGGTTTGCATCTGTCTGTGGGAGACCACAAACAATACATCACCACTCTGTAATATCCTAGTATGATGCCATTTCAGCGCTGCCTACAACACAAATTCCTACTGTTGACATTCCAACAGTACTGATATAAAAAAAACCAGAGCCATGACAGGCGCATGAGGAAACAAGAACAGGCATGGGATGAAGACGGTGTACAAGATGTATTCATTATGACAGAATTTTTTTCCATAGTTTGTTCAAAGCCTATTTCTGAGGCCTCAGAAATGTGAACACTTTGTACAATTCTGTATTTGAACCTTAATTCACAAACTCACATAAAATACACAGGCTTCCTACACCAACTAAATATTCCTCGTTATTTATGTAGTAATATTTATATATATAATATATTATAAATATATAATTATAATATATATATATATATATATTAATATATAATATATTATATAAATATATTCTATTATATAATATATATATATATATATATATATATATATATATATATATATATATATATATATATATATTATATATATATATATATATATATATATATATATATATATATATATATATGCTGCTTTGTGGTGACCTTAATGGAGGGAGCAAGGCCGTTCAACCCAGACAGAAAATTCTCTAGAGATTTATTTACGGTCCACGAACAAGTTTCATCAACATATCTGAACTATTTTCCAGCGTCAAAATAACTCCGTAGATTGGCTGATAAAAAAAAAAAACAGTCGTTGGACATGAACGTAGAATACACTATGAATTGGTATTTAATAAGCTCAATGATTAGAGGGAGTATGTATATTACATTTGTAGAATATGTAAATGTTAGGATACTTACTGAGGATGCGTTATGCCCCCCTGGTGAGCCTTGATTTTTTTAGTCTATATTTAATTAATTATTAACCCAGAATTATTATACAGAATATGTCATCCTCTTCTTTTTCGTCTAGCACTTTGAGCATATCCATTCTCTCTGGTACGACACATTCTCAGATGTACTGTTTCCTTCAGGGTAAGCCCAAAGCTGAGGCAGCGGGAGAGGTGATGTTCGCAGCATCGTTCTTCGAGTGGTTCGCTGAGGAAACTCGTCGCCAGTATGGAGAGACCATCCCCAGCGCTGCGGCAACCAAACGCATGATCACCGTCAGACAACCTGTTGGCGTAGCCGCTGTCATCACCCCGGTAATACCTTATTATTTTTTTTTTTGACCTATTTGTAGCTACGGGATCAGAGCTACGTTCGTAATGTACCAGTCTTTAGTAATTTGCAGCTACAGGGTCAGAGCTGCGTTCCGTAGTCATTCCACTCTTCAGTATTTTATAGTACAGGGTCAGAGTTATGCTCGTAATGTTCCAGTCATCAGTAATTTGTAGCTACAGGAGCAGTGCTACGTTCGTAATGTTCCAGTCTTCAGAGTCTGGACTCACTCTAACCACTTCTGGGACAATAGGGTGCTCTAGCCATTCAATGAGACAATGAATCAGGAACGCTGTAACCTCTCGAGGGTTCATTAAATCCGTGACGCTATAACTAACACTGGGGTGACAATAACGTACTCCCTAGACTAGCCAGACATGGTCAACACTTCACTATATTGATGACACAGTGATCAGCAATCAGTCCAGTGAAAGCCAGAGTTTAAATACTGCACGAGGGTCAATACTGCGTCAACTGCAATATCTGGAATCTGAATGGTCTCCAACTCTCTCATTTAATATAGAAATAGATGATCCTTCCCAATACATAGCCCTGCGACGATTCTAGTCCTCTTCTGTCTTTCGAATGTACTCCCAGTGGTCGATGTCAGTGTTGACCGGCGGCTATTAATTTCTTCTAATACTATGTCTAGTGGCCAACATGTTCAAAAATATATAAATACGAGGTCACTATTTCTGCCACTACACAACCAGGTCATTTTTTCCACCGCTTCACCATCCAAAGGTCACTATCGGCACTGCACCTAATCAATAGTGACCACCACACCACAATGAGGCTGCTCCCTCCTTCACTGAAACATCACTATGACCAGTACCACATGACATAGTCAATACTCCTTACAATACCTTCATTATTACCACTGTTGCTGCTGCCGATACTATTACTACTGTCTTACCACTACTGTATTACTACTACTACTCTATTACTACTCCTGCTATTATATTACTATTACTACTGCTACTCTATTACTACTACTGCTACTATATTACTACTACTACTACTCTATTACTACTACTGCTACTATATTACTACTACTACTACTACTACTACTACTACTACTACTACTACTCTATTACTACTACTGCTACTATATTACTACTACTACTACTACTACTCTATTACTACTACTCCTATATAATCTACTACTAAATCCCTTTCTATAACACTGCTCTATAATTATACTACTACTATACTCTTTTAACTACTCTGAAATTATATTACTACAAAACTTTTTTCTACACTCTCTATTTACAACTACCTACTTTTTATCCCCTTTACTTTTAATACTATACTACTCTATTACACTACTGCACAATATTACTCTATTTACTACACTACCTATTACACTCGCTATTATATTACTACTACTACTTACTACTACTCTATTCTATACTGCTACTTTTTTCTACTATACTACTATTTCTATCTACTACTGAACTATATTACTACAACTACTACTATTTTTACTACTATTTCTATTTCTATACACTACTATATTCTATACACTATATTCTACACGCTACTATATTCCTATTTTATTTTTTTTTTTTTTTTTTTTTTTCTACTGCTACTATATTCTACTACTGCACTATTTTACAAAACTGCTACTATATTACTTACGCTACTATTTACTATACTCTATATTTATACTATTTATATTAAAATACTATCTTATAAACTACTACTCTATACTACTTACTACTATAAATAATATTAAATTAAAATATATAAACTACTACACTATCTCTACTATTATCTAAAATACTACTATAACTAACTATCTACTACTAATAACCACAACTACTACTTTTTTACAATAAACTCTATACTACACTACTACTATACTAACTAAAACTCAATACTACTACTACTACTATTACTATACAAATTACTACACTACAATAAACTCCATCTACTACACTACTACTACTACTACTACTACACTACAACTACTACTACTACTAAACTACTACAATTCACATACTACACACCTACTACTACAACTAACAACTCTACTACTAAACTACTACTAAACTACTACTACTACAAACTACAACTACTACTACAACTACAACTACTATTTAACTACTACACTACTAACTACTACTATACTACAACACTTACAAACTACTAAACTATACTACTACAAAACTCTACTACTCCCAAACTACACTACTACTACAACTACTACTACTACTATTTTTTAACTACTACTAATACTACTACTACTACAACTCTACTACTACTAAAAACACACTCCCTACTACTCTACTACTACTACTCAACAACTATACATACTACAACACAACTACTGCTAACACTACTAAACTACTACACTACTACAACACTATTATACACAACTACTTACTACACTATACTATACAAACTACTACTCTCAACAAATACTACTACTATACTACTGCACTACTACTACTATACAAAACTCACAATTTTAACTACTACAACTACTATACTCTACTATACTACTACTATACACTACACTACTACAACTACTACTACTACTACTACAACACTATACAACTCCACACACAACTACTACTATACTACTACAACTACTACTACAACTACTACTACTACAACACTACTACAATACTACACTACTACACTATACAAAACTACAAATATTATCAAAATTATGTAAATAAACCATAATCCCAAGATTTTAGAACAAAAAAAACAAAACACACACAAACACACACACACACACACAACACCACACACCACACACACACACCAACACCCCCCCCCCACACACACACACACACACACACACACACACACACACACACACACACACACACACACCCACACACACCACACACCACCACACACCACACCCACAAAACACACACAAACACAACACACCCCACACCACACACACAACACACACAACACACACACACAAACACAACACACCACACACACCCCACAACACACAACATTCCAACTCTTAAAAAGGGAAAATCATTCGGGACCCTGTACCCCCGTGTACGTTTAGGCCCAATTGGAGATGCGGCACCGTTTGGAACCCACACCTAGCCAAGCACGAAAAGAAATTTTAAAAAGTGAAAAGGGTTTGCAAAAGATATCCCAGAGCTAAGAGGTATGCCAAAAGGGAGGTTAAGGGGGAAAACACCTGACGACACTGGGACAGGAGAGATAGGGGGGGCATGATAACACATACAAAAAACTGAGAGGAATTTACAAAGGGGGACAAAAACAGGATGTTCCAGAGATTGGACACAGTAACAAGGGGGGCACAGTTGGAAGCTGAAAGACACAGAGAAACACGGGGTGTAGGAAATATTTCTTCACCACAGAGTAGTCAGAAAGGGAATAGTTTGGGAAGCGATGTAGGGGAGGCAGGACCATACAAGTTTAAGCGGGGTATGAAAAAAAGCTCAGGCTCGGGAGAGTGACCTAGTGGCGATCGTGAAAGGCGGGGCGGGAGCTCGGACTGACCCCGCAACCTCAACAGGGGGTACAACTAGGTGAGTACACACCGCACACACACACACACACACACGCCACCACCACACACACACGCCCCAACAACAACAAACACCCCCAACCACAACAACCACACACACACACACACGACACCCACAACAACAACACACCCCCCTCACAAACAACTCACACACAAAACCACACACCACACCAAAAAACACACACACACACACACACACACACACAAAACCCCACACACACACACACACACACACACACAACACAACACACACACACCCCAACACACACACACACGCCAACCACCCACACACACACAACCACCCACCCCACACACCACACACACCCCAAACACCGCACACGCAACACACACACAACGACACACCCCCACACGCACACACACACACACATGCAACAAAAGAAGGGGGCCAGGAGAGGTTTGTACCAAGGGTAACGGGAAATAATAAAAAAAGTAGGATGAGCCCATGTTTCCCCAAAAGGGGCAGGAGGAAAAAAACCAAGTGTGCTGGGGAAAAATGGAAGAAATTAGAAGGCAAAGGACAAAGGAGAAAAAGGGGAGAGCGTCGTAACCCCAAACGAAATTGCACAGATAAGTAAGGGCCCAAAGACAATTGAAAACACATAGCAGCAAAACCCAAATCGACCGAAACTGTTTACAGCCACATCAGGGGGAAAAACAACAATAAAGGCGGGAAATTTGGCTAAGGAAGGAAAGGAGAGACAAAAAAAATCCCGTGAAGTATGTGAGGAACTAAACAAGAGTTTTCAAAAAAAGGGTTAAACAGAGGAGACAAAAGGGCTCCAAAAGGACGGAGGGGTGGGGCACCCCACCATGTGCTGGACACGGCACAAAACCCGGGAAGAAGTGAAGAGGTTCTGAGTGAGCAGACCCAAAGGGAAAGGGGGGCCCCAGAAAACTTTCCCCCCAGGGTTTATTGAGAGAGGGAGAGGGGCACTTGTGTACCCCTAACAACAATTTAAATACATCATGCCTGGGCAGGGAAAAACAGCAAATGTAGTCCCAATTTTTAAAAAAAGGGAGACAGACATGAAGCATTGAATACAGCCGTGTCATGACTGTACGTATGCAAAATCATGGGAAGATTATCGGGCAAAGAGGGGTAAAACCCCTAAAAGGGAAACGATCTCTCAACAGACCCAAAATTTGGGAGGGAAACCCTGTGCACAAACCTAGGGAGTTCTAGACTGGTGACGAGTAAGACAAAGAGGAGGGGTGGGTGGATTGCTTTTTCTTGGACGCAAGAAGGCTTTTTGACACATTCCACAAGAATTGGTGCAAAAAGGGAGGACCAAGCGGGGAAAACGGGGAAGGCACTACAATGGATCGGGAAAAATACTTGTCAGGAAGCAGCAGCGAGTCTGGTACGTGGGGGGTGTCAGAGGGGCCCTGTGACCGCGGGGTCCCACAGGGTCAGCCCTGGGACCGTGTTTT